ATTAAGCTGCACAGGAAAAAAAATATAATGATACTAATTGGGGGATAGCGAGGACGCCTTCATACGCGCCTGGGAGATGTCAAGGCTCTCGTCCTTGTCGAGCTTGCGGATGATGCCGTCCACCTTGGCGGCGGGGATGGTGTGCATCCCGCGCATGGAGAGCAGGCCCTCCCGGAGCTCCTCGTAGGTGAGGCGGCCGTTCTGGTCCCGGTCCAGGGTGTTGAAGAGCTTCATCAGATGCGGCGCCGAGAGGTCGAAGTCTGGGTCGAGCTCGTAGAGCGCCTCCTCCAAAATGTGCGGCTCCGGGCGCCCTCCCCGAGGCCCCGGCCCGGGCCCCGCCAGCCCCTCCGCGGCGCAGTGCTCGCCCGCCTCCCCGCAATTCGAGTGGCGCCCCGGGGTGCCCACCTCCACCGCGTGGAAGGTTCCCGGGCCCGCCGTCTGGGAGCGCCGGAGGCTCCCGGTCAGTGCCCGTCCCCCCCTCTCGGGCGAGTCCGTGGCTCCCAGGGCGTTGAGGGGGCGCCTCCGGGCCCCGGCGCCGTTGGGATGGTCCCAGGCCCTGTCTGCCTCCTCCGCGGACACCCTCCCGTCTTTGTCGATCTCCAGGTCGTCCAGAAAGCGCCGCACGGGGCCGGACTCGAAGGGGGGGGAGACCGGGAGGGAGGTAGGGCCCAAAAAGCCGGCGTGGAGACCCCCCCCCGTGCTCGCCCGCTGCTTGTGCGAGGCGCTGGAGGGCAAGACGGCATGGGTGAAGTCGTACACATTGCCTGTGCTGCCGCGGCGTTCGGGGCGCGGGAATGGCTGCGTGTGCTGCACGAGCGTGGGGTCGGGCCCGGCGGACTCGAAGCCCGAGTCTTCTTCTGGGAGGCCCTCCGCCCCCGGCACGGCCAGAGGAGGGGATACCGTGGAAGACGAACCGCTATGGGAAGATCTCCTGGCCCCCAAGAGTGGTTGATTCTCGCTCCGCATCGTGGTGGTGAGATGCCGGGGGAGAATGCGCGTAGATGCGGGGGGGAGGGTCCGGGCCTTGCTGGGAGCAACGAAGATGACGAGAGGAGGCCTGGGAAGAAGAAAAAAGGACGCGAGACATGAGTGTCGGATGGAGAGGCACCCGGATCATCCGCGTGCAAATCGTGCCCACTGAGGGAGCGCGGGTTCAGAGAGG